TAATTTATGAAGAGAAACTTAGTGAGAAAGATAATTTCAAAATGTTCAAGAAGTCTAGGGCAACTTACTTATAGCACGTGATACGCTGTTCGAAATCATTTAACGAATCGAACGTACGCAATGAATGTTACTGGTAAAACGAATCACAGTAGAACTTCATTTCAACGGGCAAACAATTATAATTGATATTCGTATACACTAGATGTTCATTTATTGGAATGGAATTTTATTTAATACGTGATTGAATTTATCTGAGACCGAACAGAGAAAGAACATGAATTCTTATCATTTGAGTAGATATTTTTAGATAACAGAGTTAGTTGGTTACTGCAAGTCTTGTTACAATAAAATTCTATCTGAATTCTATTTATTGAGTAATCTGATCGAATTGATTAAATATGTTTACATGAACGTGAATTCCTATTGTTTGACTGAGAAACAATGCCAGTAGTGTGGAGAACTAATAAACATTTACTCTAATAAACTTCCACTTATCTGAACTCTATTTATTAGAAATTTTAATTAATATCTGGCTAATTGGATCACACTTCTATGAATGTAAATTCCTGTTATTTAAATGAAAAAATTGTACGAATTTTTCTCAATTTATTCTCTGGCAATACTAGATAAACGAGATCTCTGTCAGACTTCATTGATCATCTATGTAAATCAATCTGTGTATTTCAATGGTCTGTAATGTCAAATCATTAATTATGTAACACAACAATAGAAGTTTGACTATTTTTTTCACCTTTGATTTCTAATAAATTTCTTGTCAAAAATAAGCAAGTGTCCAGATATTTTCAAGCAATTATAAAATATGTGTAATTTAATGAATTAATAGAGCAAATGTAAATATGACTCTATTGCCATCCGCTGTTTTCTTCGAAAGTTAATTGCATTTCTTTCGATGAAGCTGCAGAAGAAGACGTTTCCTTTGCTACTGGCATACGTTTAAAATTCCTTGTGGCTGTACTCATCTTGTTTCGCCAATTTTCTTACCACTTTCTCGTATAAATTGCTATTAAAAGAGCAGTGGATGTATCGAGGACGAGGGATAACATAGTTTACGAAGTCGATCTTC